TCACCACCCCATCCATTACTCAGCTCATAAGCAAAGCCATCGTTAACCTTGTCCTCTAAAGAAAGTTTTACCGTCACTTAACAGGAAAGCAAGGTGTGTTAGGGTACAAGTGCTGTGACTGGCGATGTTTGTCTCTAGCAGAAGGGCTCTAGCCAAGTGGGACAGGGTGGGGGAAATCGTTAAAGGCTTCTGGCGTCGGAGGGAGCCCCGTGCCGTGGGTGCTGCGGGGCAGGGTGCTGCGGGGCAGGGTGCCACGGTGCCCGGCCGCTGCCGGAGGCCGGCGGGGGCTCGGTGCCGTTGTCTCGGGGAGTTTTATCCGGTTCCCCGGAGCAGGGATGGTTCCGCAGGAGTTCAGGCTTGCACGTGTCGGGAGGACTGCGTGGGATGCAGGTGGAGACCCTGGCCAGTGTAGCGGTTGTTGTTGGTTTTTTTCCCCGGTATGGCTGGGTTTTGGGTTTGGTTTCTCTCTCCCTCCCTCCCAGCGATTCCTTTTCGTCTGCTTCTCCTTGCTTGCACCTTCACGTCACCCGCTTCTTGGGCGAACGGGCTCGCGTAACCCCACTGCACCCCACCGCCTCGGGGCAACGGCGCATGCAGGCAGGCGGGCCAAGTCCAGGGGCCACCTCCTGCGGGGGGGAGTAGCCCCCCTCAGCTGCCTGCGAAGGGCTTTGGAGAGGAATCTGAGCACGGAAAGCACGTGGTTCTTGCTCTGAAGGGCACGGAGCCGGGAGCTCTTGGTGTCGGCTCCCGGCAGCATCTGCACCGGAGGCAGAGCGCGGTGCAGCCGCCGGTGTGCGGGGCTCGCCCGCTGCCCCTGCCCCTCCACCCCGGGCCAGCAGCCGCCTGCTCTCGTTTTTTAATAATTTGAAGTGTATTGGTTGCAAAAAGGTTTAAAAAAAAATTAGCTTTGTGCCCTTCTGTGAAGAGGTTTTTGGGGAGGAGGAAGCGTTTCGCCTCTTGCTCATCCTCCAGACCAGGCCCTTCTGGGGAAAAAGCCCGATGTTGAGTCATTTGTCATTTTTTTCTGTTGAAAGCTGATGTCCCCAGGCTGCGTTGGCTTCGGTGGCCCTGGCTGGCCTCGGCTCGGTGGTACGGGCGCTGGGATGGGACCTGGAGGTGCCCTGGAGCCTCCCCTGGAGCCTGGCCGGCCAGCGGGTACCAGCTCACCCCCCGCTCGCTGCCTCCTGCCTGCGTGGGCTCTGCCCGCTTGCCCGCAGAAATCCCCCAAAGCGACCATAATCCTGTCTGCGGACCCGGCTCCCGCAGGGCTCTGGGCGCAGTCGCTGCCCGTCCCCACTCGCTGCAGCTTCGCCCTGGGTGCTGCCGCCGGGCGGGGGGATGCCGGGCGCCCACGGGGATGCTGAGGCCGGGCTGCCTCCAAGGGATGGGGGCAGTGGCGTGAAAGCCAAGTGCGGCTTTTTTCTTTTCTAATTATTATTTTTACTGTGACTAAACGGCCTGCTTTAATGATTTTTACAGCTTGTTTTTAACAAGTTTGGGACTATGAACAAGTGCAAGGTGCACAAAGAGTCACTTTTGAAGGCTACTGTGGCTGTGCTTTTCTTTTCTTCCCTGCTTTGGTTCCTGAATGCAGACGGCGCTTTGCTCAGGGTTTTCTTCCTTCTTTGTATTTCCATTTTTTACTGTGACTAAACGGCCTGCTTTAATGATTTTTACAGCTTGTTTTTAACAAGTTTGGGACTATGAACAAGTGCAAGGTGCACAAAGAGTCACTTTTGAAGGCTACTGTGGCTGTGCTTTTCTTTTCTTCCCTGCTTTGGTTCCTGAATGCAGACGGCGCTTTGCTCAGGGTTTTCTTCCTTCTTTGTATTTCCATTGGGAAAGAGGGAGGGGGGAGAGGATAACCCAACTTCTGGCCATTTGTTTTGATTTCTTCGATACTTGAAGCAGTTTTTTGCATCCTAATAACAAAGCTGTCCGGCGCTTAGCCTGTTCCACTGCTCCTTGCCCTGAGAAAAAAAAAAATCAATGACGGGGTGGTTTCTGCCTCACGTCTTGCACAGCTCGGTTTTTGGCACGGCTTGGCTTGGGCGGACCGCGATGCCCCGGACCGGGTGCCCTGCCGCCAGCGGTGGGGCTGGTCGGCTTTGGCTGAGGACCCCCCCTGACCCCTCATCGCCTCCCCAAAAGTTTGGGTTTGCCAAAAGTTTGAGGCAAGCTGGGAGCGGATCCGGGCATCCGAGATCAAAAGTCGTCCCTTCTGTGTGTGTCTGTGTGCATATATATATATATATATATATATTTTAAAGATACTGCAAAGGATTCCTCCTCCTTTTTGGCACTTGCTGGGTTTTGGTGAGCGGGCTGAGCCCTACAGCCGGGCTTCCCAGCTGGCTGTAGGTGTTTATTCTGACCAAACCCGCACCCAGAGAGACGGCCCCGGCCGGCGGGGCCACCCCGGGGGGGCAGCAGCA